TAATATATTTCTCTTTCTGCACGAGAAACACTTCTTTCTGCCTTTTTTTTTTTTTGCACCCTCTGTATTACCACAGTGTCAGAAGGGAAGAGAAGGAGAGGGGGGAAACCAAAGCAACACAGAAAAATCCTCCACAAACCTGTTGCTGTGGATACTGCATTCCTCCCATGGCGGCAGGGGCTCGGCCCTGCATTCCCACGGGATAGCGCTGGGGGCCGGGAGGGCCGTAGGACTGCCCGGGGTAGGGGCTGCTCTGCTGCGTCTGGGAGTGAGGGTTATTGCCCATGCCGTACAACTGGGGTCTCTTCATGACCATCGGATCCATTGGGCTGCCCTGTTGTTAGACACAAGCAGAGAAAGAAACACTTTAAGGTCAGAGCAGTCACACTTACTGCGGGCAAACCGGACACGCGTCTTCTCGATACATCAAATATTGACCTGACTTACAAACTGGCAGAGTACCGTACTCTGGTTCTTCATTACATGAGTTTTTAAACGGCCAGTTTGGGACTTCCATGGCATTTGAACAAAAATAAACAATCATTCTGCACTCAAACTTAAGGTTGTCTCTTACCTACAGAAAAAGCACGTACGATAACTGCCCAACAAATTTCAGCATAAGAATTAAGTATACTGTTGCAGACTAATTAGCATCGCTGACTAATGTGTGAACATAAATAAAGCCGTGTCTGCATCAAGAGACACAAGTAGTGGGCAAGCCATTTAACCTTGAGAAAATGTCTGTTTTCTCATCCTGAAAGAAGGCAAAGTGAAAACAAAAGAGTTTACGAAGTGCGATGTACACAGAACGCTGTATTTCAGCGCTTTCATACTGCTACCGTGTGCATTAATAAGTACCCAGATCATAAGGCAAGTTGTAACCCACACTGTACGTGAGTTTTTTTGCCACCTTAAGAGACCTCAGAAAATCCAAACTGCAATCACAGATGGAGGGGGAGGGGAAGCAAGGGAGGGAAGTTTTATTTTTAGACTTTTTGGCAGCACTTACCAAGCACCGTAACAGTTTCAGGACTGGTGTCAACCATTGTGTGGTATTACTCTCATGTTTTATTACTGAGGACTAACTGAACCAGAAACAATATCATACTTTGTCAAGCGCAGCGCTGTATTGTTAATATGACATCCATTTTTAATTCCTGAGTGCCGGTTATATTCACGGAAGAAAGGCCGGGGCAGGGGAGGGGGGAGGGCAGCTTTTTAAAAGCCTATCACAATCTTCTTGTCATGAAAGAGACATATTTCCCCCCCTCATCCTCCCAGGGAAGACGACCTATTAATTCATCCAGCCAGGTCACCCTCCCACCAGGAGCAGGATTCCTTCCCATAGGACTTTTCCTACCATGTGCTGTTGCCCAGTTTTATTATAAAGCCTCCTATGTAACACTGCTTCTGCAAGTCCTTTTTGGCTATTATATTCTGATGTAACAGTTGTTACGACAATAAATCACACACACCTCTCAGTTATTCTCATTGTTGCTGTTGGTACTACTAACACACTATGGCTTCCCCCCTCCCCATACGCATGAGGAGCATGCTCTTCAAAGAAGTCACTGCTTAATGAACTATTACATGTTGTTCTTAATGTTCCCCTCCTGAAAGTAAGTAACTCAAACATTCTCACTCTTGCCACCGTCTCTCCCCATCCTTCCCAGTACCAATTTTCCAGGAATATCAACAAAGCCAAATAAAGTATCCCAAATGCGGACACACTACACCTGAGGAGGTGGAAACAATAACCTCCTCCTCATGTAACACCTCCATTCCCTTCCCAAGAGGGCTGCCCTTTTTTGCCACCACAGTGAACTGCACAGTATCTTCTAATTTTGGGTGAGTTATTACTCAGCAAATTTCCCTTTATTACTTGGCTGCTTTGCGGCCAGATCAGAAGTTTCTATTTTTCACCACTAAATGTCCCTGGGTAATTTATTATTTATATTTCATACTTTTCAATGGTCCCAACCACTTCAGACCACCTGACTCACAACACTGTTTGTTTGTTTGTTTAGGCCATCATGCACTCTCCCCACACTTTTAACTACAAACAACACGAACACAAAGGTTTGGCAGATGAACTAGAGGTTCCTTCTTTCCTGGGGGCAACTTAAATTTCCTCCTATAGACCAAGATGTTTTATCTGTGTTTATTTCCGTGTTTTAATGTTCATTCATTCTATCACCTGTCATATCCATCTTCTCCAACATAAATCCTTCTTCAAAGCAAGTCTTGAGTTTCCTTCAAGAGATTACCATGAAACTCAGCAGCACTGTTCATTGCCACCATCTTGGGTTTCAGGATAGTATTTCCAGATCAAACCCAAAACCAATGTTCACTCAAATTCAATTTTAAGTAATTTTGTGTGTCATATTTTCTGTTCTGCATCCAATACTTAAATACAATTACAAACAATGCGGATAGCTACACAGCAAAAACAGTCTGACACTCCCCATTATTATTTTCAGGTGCATATAAACTTTGCCAAACTTCAAGCATTTAGGCTGAAATTTTCCAGGCCATATGTATGCCTGAGGCTGAAATTCTCTGGAAAATTCAGCAGAAACAGTTCAGCTATGTCTTAGAATGAGGTCACAGAAAAATACATCGTTTATGTTCTTACATAAAACGCTTAAAAATACCTCTTGAATACCATGCTTTGGGGCAGAGAATTTTAATTTGCTAGGATAACACTGGACGTTCAGGAAAGGCGAGGTGTGCACCCATCTTGAGAGCACCTGGATGTCACCAGACCCTCAAGAAGCGCAGGAGGGGAAAACAGGGGCGGCATACCATGGCTTCAAAGGTGTACCGAGGCGCTCTCCAATTTGCCGGTCAAAGAAACAGGGACAATGGGTTAAAAAAAGCACCAGGGACAGAAGTGGGACAGGATGAGTTGAAGGGAAGAGGAAGAAACAAGGTCAGGAGGTGACATGGATATGGGCCGGAGAGTCTCTGTCCTCTGGACTAGTGACCTCCAAGCAGTGGGGGTTGTCTGTGTGTGTGTGCGCTAGCGAGCCCCACCACCACTTCATCCCTCGCTCCCTTCTCCTCACCACCCTGCTGCCTCTTCACTTCCCCCTGTCCTCTCCAGGAAAGCTGTTCCTCTTCCCCTCAGGTGACATCTCTCTGCTTCAGAAAGGCAGAGGGATAAAGAGCCTGAGATACTGCTGTAATTCCTGCCTGTAGGTGACCCACACAGTGCCGAAGCCACGGGGGCTGTGGTCACGGGATATGGGTAACAAGAGACCTGGGCATACTCACAACTTACTGTGGACATCGCGACTGAGGCATCAAGATCAAGGAGTGGAGACACGGAATATGCCAGGGCTAGACAGACAGCGGTAAATATCCCCAAGCAAATTAATCGGGACAGCTCAGAAAGAATCTACCAATGACGCAGGGGCTGTCAACACTTCTGCAAGGCAAACCAAAACCAAACAGCGAGCTCTCCCCTAGGTTTAAGGAACATTACCACTCCAGAAGTTAAGAGCTGTCGGAATTAAGTTTGCCCTTGCAACATTAACCATGTCTCCTTCACAGATATCGCTGTATCAGCCTTTAAATACACGGTCACATGTGTATTCACAGACAAAAGCACCTTCAGAGGCCATGGGTGGGCCTGATCCAGGGATAAGTGGGCAGCAGCGCAACGGAGGGGTGGTTGTGTGCCACTGGACCGAAGGCTTCGCTTACGGGTAGTGAACGAAGCAGAGGATGGTCTTGCCATTAAGGTAGCTCTGCGCTGCTCAGGCAGAACTGGAATCTACCCCTGCATCTGCCACAGACTAGAAATCAGGGCATTGAAACTGCAGAAAGAGCTGCATGTCTACAACTGCAACTACTTTTGAATTTGACGAGATGTGCTTTGAAGATGTTTTCAGAAGCTGCACATTCCAGAAAATCTAACCTACAGCCATCATAAACAGGCCACTCAAACTTCCTAGAGCAATGCCTCGGTTTCCAACTGTAAAAATGAAAAACATCATCATCTCTTCACCAGAGAGGTGGTTTTATAATTTAATATGACCGTGATCGATACCATAGAAAACTAACAAGAGAACAAATTTTGTTTTCAGAACAGAGTACGATGAGACAGACCCAGAGCCATACTCGTAACAGAAAGAAAAACCAGCTGCTCACCCAGTATTGTGTGCCCCGTACAGTGGAGGTAAAAATTTAATTATAACTTCTTCCAACTTTAACGCATGTAGAGTTTTCAGCTTTAGCATACTTTGTAAGCTTGAAGTTTCATTTTAGTAGCACATCATCTTATCTAAAGGCTCCTTTAACATTTATTAAAGTTCAAATATTTTCTTTAACCTTTAACCAACAGTTTTCAAAGACAAATTTTGGGTGACAGGATGATTATGACATACAACAACGCCTTCGTGTTGTAGGGATCAACAACGAACCCCTCCACACCTGGCTCCCCAACATGTACCGAAAATGACAGCATCGCTGTAACTGCATTGCACTCTTCTAAAATCCAATGGGCATGTATGACCATGAATGGATGATGTGTGTATTTTCACAACTTGCTTGCCTTTACTTAATTCTATTACATGCTGTACTGCTAAGTTTTAATTACTTCTGAAGTGTTATTTTAGTGTCATTGCAGTCATCAATATCCATTTATTTTCCTTTCCCTTCCTTTACAGGAGGGTCCAATTTTTCCCTAGTGCTATTTTACTCCCAATATACATATTAACTTTTAGCAATTTAGCTAGTGTTTGTTCATGCTATTTTTACTGCCATATTCTGCCAGGCAAGCCTGAACAAATTCCGCCTTTTGCTTCTGATTCTGCACCTCCTTTTCAGCGTGCTGCGTTTCATTTAAACTTTGCATAGATCTGCCATTCCTCAAAATACCTCAGTCTTGTTCCTTGCTTCAGTCCACAGTAATATTGTAATTTATAACTGCTTTATGACAGTGCCTATCTTGTGTCAGCATCAGATTCATCTGAACACGTACTATCAGGCTTTGTAAGAACAGAGCATTTTGTAAGTCCTTGCCTATTATGTGCCTCGTGAGCGCATTAAAACACACACCTGAAGGTTTGCTAATGATTTCAATAGGGCCAAGGTTTCATTCCCGGTCTTTAGACTGACAGTCCAACTGTTAAGGTAGGATGCAGAAAAGCCTACACTGCCTACAAACAGTAACTGACAAGCTTTTCCTGTTACCTGCTCCTTTGTTCACTGTTTTGTGTAAAAGAATACATAAATTCAGCATCCCTGCTATATGCAGAAGTGGAAAAATTAATATTGTCCGCCACTTGCAAACTCAATATCATCATCACTTCTGCTCTCCTCCTAGCCAAAACAGTCACGTCAAATCACCTCACCCTAAAGCACCTGGAGATTCATTTTTACCTCTTCTAAAGTGAGAATAAATTAAACAAAACAAAAAAAACAACCACACCCCACCAAACCACTGCTACCATTTTCTCTCATCATTTAACCAGTGTTTCCCCAAGTATGTTGTCTCTGCTTAGATATGAGGCAGGAAGCACACTACAGTAACTTGAGCAACATTCCGACCAAGACATACCAGTGATGTCCCAAAAGGAAGAGCCGCTATTATGTATGCGTTACACATGGTCTATTAAGTTATCAGTGTACGATTTACTTCTAACACCAAAATCTCTAGTTGAAAGACATCAACAATGGTCACAGGCTCAGTATATAACTTAGCTGCTTAAAGACACCACAAAGAACCCCACCGCTGAAGTCTCGAGATAGGGAGGAGTGCAAGACACTTTCTAAAGTTCACAGCGGGATTCAGATGTGACGATAGAGCTCTTATACACGGCAGGCAGAGCAATTCACTGAAAGACAAGAGTATTCACATGAAATATAACTACTCTTCAAGTGAAAGTGTGCTTTTTTGTTTGTTTAAACAAAAAAGAAAAATTTGAAAGAAGCCTTGGTTTGGCTGACAACAGCCAACGCTGCAATTTAAAGGGACTGTAAGCCACAGCGCATCCCCAACAACTAATGCTACATCATTTGCGCCTATAACAAAACAACATAAACTCAACACTCTCAAGTAGGCTTGCACTCAAACTCCTAGAGCTACTGAACACAATAACTCTTTGTTTATTCATTGATCTGCAGCCAAAGCTTCTGTCTCCATATTAAAAAAAAAAAAAAAGCGCCTCTCTATTAATACCAAAGCCTTGAAACCTCATAATAAAGACAATCAGCTACCGACATTCCAAGAAAGATGGGCATGGAGCTCTCAGCTCTAGGTCAGGCACCAAGTTACAAATTTATCGCTAGAGATAATCACAAGTATTCACTATAATACAATGACACATCTGGCATGAGGACACAACTGGGGAAGAGATAATCCATTTCTAGATAATGCCATCATTTGTATGAACATGTACAAGGACTCCTCAGCCAACATTTTTACACGACAAAAGCACGAGTATCAAAACACAACCCTTGTTACGTGTTTTAAATATCCACTTAAGAAAAATGCAAACAGCTATTTTAAAACAAGTATTAATGTACAGGAGTAAATTCTTCCTTACACTAATATTAAAATCTGAGAGGTGACCGGCAAACATGATTCCTTTCTTTTTAAATAGAAGTCAACCTCACTTCCCTAAAATGTTAATTAAAAAAAACAGTGGCACAAACACAACAAGGAATAAGCAAAAACAAAGTGCCAAGTTCAACATAAGTCTATGAAGAAGGAAAATCCAATGAAGGATGCAGTATATACTAGCAGAGATTTAACAAAAATAGTGATTTTCTTGTCTTAGAGACTTTGCATACTGTCTGATTTCAGCTGCAGGGAGACATCAGAAAGGTAATTTCCCACTCAAAACACAAAGTAATTAAAATGGGGAAAGAGAGAAAAATCAAAGGTATGCCCCACCAAAAATCAACTACTACCCTACTACAACATTTACACATAATTACACAAGCAAGCGTGTCTGCGGAGTGGCGGAGAGGGATGTATGTTTGCCCGTTTTCCAGTTTTCTTCTAGGTCCTCTTTAACACAACCTGAGAACTAGAAGGTCAGCGAGTCATCCATTCTCTAGTTATTATTTTGTAGACAGATATCCCAAAATGACTACTGAAAAAGCAAATCACAATGAACACAGCAAAGAAACAAAACCCGTTTTTAATGAATTCTACACAACTAACCTTTTCAGTTGCCATTACAAGTGCACACAAAGGTTAAGGCAACATCAAAAAACAATTATACATGTTAGGACTCCTGATGGCCAAAACAACCCTATGTTTCTTACAAGTTCACATGGTCATACAGCTCAGAACTGCTGCCCTTCAAGTTGCCTTTGTCACTGCCAACTGCTGATGCCCTGATTGCTCTCAAGTCAACTGAAGGTATATCATCTGTTCCCATTACACTTGAGTACTCAGCCTTCTCCTTTAACCTACTTTCCTAATTCCAAAGTTCTTCCAGGAGCATGCAGGAATTATCTTTTTGACTTTCTACTTGTTTTCTCCAGCTTGGATGCTCCACACAGAGGAGACTACCTTCCTTCAGGCACGCAGGAGCTCTAGCCCCCTAGCAAAAGTGCTCCCCAGCAATTCAAAAGCAATTCCTAGGTGCAACAGAATCCAGGGGTTCTTACAGATGTCTTCTAGCAAACCCATCTGTGACCATACAACATGTCACCGATTCCAGCTGCTTTTCCTACTTGCTGCTGAACTGTGACCATGCTTTAGCTACTTCCATCCACAGTCCAGCATCTGAACTTAAAACTGCCCGTGTAGGGTGGGTCTGCACCAATACAGCAGCTTTGGCACTGAAGCACGCGGGACGGGGGCACAGTTCTCACCCTGCCCCTTCAGCGACTGAAAGTAGTAACCCTCGGCAGGAGGGCAAGGCAGAGAGCGAGGGGAAAAGGTACCTTAAAGTTGCCAGGCTGGATTCACCAAAGGTATGTCTCACAGCTCTGAGGCCTCTTCAGTAGCCAACGCTATGGCTCAAGGAAGAGAAAAATCCATTCATAAACCCAGAAAACGAAGTTAAAAAAAGAAAAGCCCCACCCAGCATACCCGTTACTTCTATTTTGCCTGGCAATGAGGTTCTCAGCTTCCTAGACAAGTAAACACCTTCACTCACTGTGCATGGCTGCCATCTGGAACTCAAAAAAAATTCCCTTACCTACTTTGTACAGCTCTTACACAAACACAGGGTTAGATGGACAGAAAAGGATGTACTAAAAATAGTGCCTGTCAGGCAAGTAGCAGACAGCAGCCTCAAATGGAACCAGAGGAGCTCTGCGGGAAGG